ATAGTCCATCATATAGCCCTCTTAAACTGCTTCAACACCGATATCAAAGCCTCTATTTTCCATTAACTCAAGTCAGCAACAATAATAACGGGCAAGGTGCTATTTTGTCCCAAGAATACATACCTCAACTGAGATGGAAGAACCTTAAGTTCCAGTTTTGGAGGCTCGTCAACTTATGGTTTTGTAGGTGGGGTGTCTCGATTCTTCATGTCTAATTCCAACCTTTTTGGTTTGAAACGAAACTCGAACCTATCAAATGCCGCAACTATCTCATCATAGTCATCAATACCATCACTCTAAAAATTTATCATTATCGTTGTTAGTGCATTAACACCTAACCTCTGCTCAATAGACACTTTAGATTCTTGATCAACACTATGGTTTACCACCGATACTGATTTAAGATCACTTTCATGCTTCATAGACCTTCAGATGTTAAAAGTTACCACCTCATTATTTAATTGGAACTTCATTTTCCCTCTTTCCATATCGAACAAGGCAAGCGCAGTAGCAAGAAATGGTCTCCCTAAGATGATGGGATCCTCAAAATCAACCTCACAATCAAGTATCACAAAGTCTGTCAGAAAGATGAATGACTGTACTTTCACAAGGACATTTTGGAGCACTCTTATGGGCCTCTTCATAGTTCTATCGGCCATAAGTAAATGCATTGCAGTCGGCTATGGAGCTCCTAAACCCAACTTCTTATATATGGACAATGGCATCAAATTAATGTTGGAACCCAAATCACTGAAAGCTTTCGCAAAGTGTAGAATCCTAGTGGTGCAAGGAATAGTGAAAGCTCTAGGATCCTCTTTCTTTTGCACAAGTGACCTAGTAACAATGACACTACAATGTTGTAGCCTCTAATCATTCTCAAAACTGACAGCCCTTTTTTTGTTCACTAAGTCTTTCATGAATTTCGCATACCCAAGGATCTGCTCCAAAGCTTCTATTAATGGACATTTATGGACAGTTGCTTCAACATAGCTATAAACCTGTGATATTTTGGTTCTTCCGTCTTTTTCACCAATCTTTGTGGAAATGGAGGTGGAGATCTAGACATGGGAAAAACTCTTTGGGTCACCTCAGCTTCCTTCTGTGTATCATCCTTCGGACTTTCGGTAACCGCATTATAATCCCCAGCTTCTTCTATTACTCTTTCAACCTCAAAAGGTATGGGGTGTCAATAGTCTGTTTTCCTCTGCGAGTGGTGACTGCCATACAATGCCCATAATTTTTTGGATTCTAGATGGTGTTGCTAGGAAGTGTGCCAGGCTGGCTTAGGTTAGCACTGGAGAAAAACTAACTAAACTGCTGCTCAAGTTTCTTTATCGACACAGAATGGGCATCAACTTTCTGACCGATTCCATATTAATCATTCCTCATCTCTTGCACATTCTCATTTGTCGCCTGAAACCTCTTCATCATTTTCTGCATCATATCCTCAATGCGAGTCATGCTAGTACCAGCCTCTCTATTACCCGGTGGAATATATGGCCCAGCCTTATCATTTCTGTTGCTATAGTTGTTCTGGTTGTAATTGTTATCACAATTATAGTTCCCATCCCAGACAGAGTTTCCCTCACTGCTTTAGTTTCCATAGTCTCAACCTTGGTTTCCTTGACCTTGGTGCCAATTATTCAAGTTGGAACATTGGGCGTTGGTTCAGAAACCCTCTGTCTGATCATTAACCATATTCACATCCTTCTCATAGTAATATCCTCAACTTGCGGTGGTGGAGTCCTAGTTAGATAATTTACCGCACTCATTTTTTCTGCACTTCAACTTACATGCTTTAATACCAAGCCAATTTCTGTCCTCATTTGAGCCATCTCTTCACGAATGTCATCATTCGATTGACTTGGTGTAGTTTTAATAGAAAAGGAGCTCCTACCCATATTTTCCTTTCTAGTGCTCCATGCCTTATTGTTTTGGGAAATCCTCTCAAGTTTTTCAACGAACTCCTCAAAAGTGCACTCACCATATGATCCTCCAACAATAGTATCTAACACAACCTTTCCATTGTCATCCTCTCCTCGGTAGAGGTACTCCTTCACTGACTCATCATCTATGAGGTGATTCAAAATACTCCTCATTAATCTAGTGAACCTATCCCATCAACTGCTTACCGACTCTATACGTAGTGCCGTGCAATCATTCATTTTATCCTTGTAATTAAAATTCTTTGACACCGGGAAAAACCTCGCCATGAACACCTTATGCATTTTGTCCCATGTATAGATCGAATTGTATGGCAGCTCAGAAAGCCACACAGTAACATCACAAGTCAATGACAAAGGGAATACTCTTAAACCTATGATCACTACAAGAAAATCAGCCTCTAAGGAAGGGAAATCTAGTCCCTGAAAGTTGAAATCTGGTCCCAAACGAGCAATCGAGCAATCGAGACCAGAAAAACCTGGTCGCCACTCGTCCTAGAAAGTGCCGTCGCTACTGGTCACTAAGGACGAGTTCAAAAAACTGGTCCCTGAATGTCTTTGAGACGATAAAAAACGCTGGTCGTGAAACATTTTTAGAGACTGCATATCTAGTCTCAAATGGACCATTGGTATTTTGGTTTTCAGGTCGTTAATCCTCTTTTGCGACCGTCAGCAACCTAATCCCAATAACTCTTTAGAGATGAGTGTGATCTGGTCCTAGAATAACGTTAGAGAGCATTAACAATCTGCTCCTAGAATAGTTGTAGCGACAATAACGAACTGGTCCTAAAGTAGTTTTAGGGACGAACAACAACCTGGTCCTAAAATAGCTTTAAAATGAATCACCATTGATCCTACAACTATTGATATCATAAGAATCTAACAAAATATCAAATTAATTACACAACTAAAAATCTGGATACAAAAGAAGATATAGAAAGGTTTGCATGTAAAGAGTGCGATTGATTATAATAAATTTGTGAGCATCACAAGATGTAAGTTTCAATATTTTCTTAATTAATAAACAAAAAAACTAAGATAACATCCAAGGTTTTGCATAACATTCATAGCAAAGTAAGAATGAGTTGGTGCATCTTCCAAGCTATAATTCACTGAAGAATGAACAAAAGTTGGGCAAAAAACATAAAGTTTAGTCTTTGTCATGTGATATCCAGAAACATCTACAAAACCTGCAAGAAATAAGAAAAAAATCTATCAGAAAAACTATCAGATACATCAATCAAGAAACCAACATCTATTTTGGAGAACAACACCTAAGTAACATTTAGTAAAAATTAGAAATAAATGGATAGACAAGATAGCTTAAGAGACAATTTGGATGAACTATTTGGAAGTGAAACTTAGCTGATTTTGTAACAAATTAAAGAAAACTGTATGTGACAATAATATTTTAGGCTATAGCCTTTGCTGCACAGGTGCAGATAAATTAACAACAGTGATACGAATGCATTGGGACAGCCATGAAGATTGAGGCGATGTCCAAGATATAAGAACAAGAATTTTGACGGACACTTACGAGTTGATACAAGGAAACAACAGAGAAGGAATTTTATGGCCAATCTAAATCATCGCAACTGAATGAAAATAACAGATACACATGCAAGATTAGTCATGTATTACTATGAATTGAGAAAAAATAATTGCATTTCATTTGTATCTGAACCTTGTAATATTTACTATTAGTAATTTGTGTATGTTCATGTTGTTGAAACAGTAGAATGCTTCATCAGTCAATTGCCCCATCACGTGGAACATTCTTGTTGCTAAAAGAGCAATAGGGTAAAACCACTACTTCAAATTTTATAACATGAATCAGAATCTTATATACTGGAGACACAAGGAAACTTAACAACAAAAATGAATGAGTCTTTAAGCTCTATAATTGTGCAGTTGTCCTAGAATTCATCGGAGTAATGAAAAAACAATCTGAAATAGTTTATTCAATTGGAGTGAACTATTTTTTCAAGCTTCTTCATATTGTAAAAAGCGAGATGGATGAAGGAATGGAACCTTAAGAGTAGAGTCGCAGCGATTGTCCCTAGCTAATAGCATCATGGAGAGCCTCCAAAACTGTGTTGGGCCAAAGATTAGTGTACTTTTCTGAGTTGGCTTTTCTCTCGATACCTCTAATAGTGGCTTATGTTCTAAGTATACGAGAAAGGTTTTTCTTTCAACATTTCTGCAGCCCTTGCGACTGCCATGAAGATTGAGGGGATGTCCAAGATATCAGAACAAGAATTTTGACGGACACTTACGGGTTGATACAAGGAAGCAATAAAGAAGGAATTTTATCTCCAATCTAAAACAGAGAAGCTGGTAGCAATGCTATATTGCTTGTTGTGCAGGAAATTTTACGCTAAGTAGAGATATACACCCGACACTTACCAATAAGCCTCTCTAGGCGCACAATAACGTGAATTGTTATCTTGCACACGGTGGCCGAAATGGTGAGAGGGAGGATGAGAAAATCCAGCATCGAGAAGCCATTGATGGATTTTCAACAACAAGAAAATATTGTGAACCAGAAAAAACAACAGTTTGGATTAGGGGAAAGCCAGCCAATCAAACAGTGGCCTTCGCTATCTGAGATGGATGTTGCTAGGGAGCTGCCGAAGAAGGTTAGAGTCAAAGATCCTAACCTTACGTGGCAGCACTGTTACGTTGCAGCAGTGCAGAAAATTTAAAAATAAGCTTTGTCTCGTTATGCAGAAAATTGTAAAACAGAGAAGCTCGCAGCAATGTTACGTGGCAGCACTGTTACGATGCAGCAGTGCAGAAAGAATATCTTAAGAGATGAGCAGGATGAACAACAATCGGACAGAACATGGTAAAACAGAGAAGCTGGCAGCAGTGTTGCAGCAGTGCAGAAAATTTCAAAACAAAGTTTGTGTCGTTATGCAGAAAATGAAAGACTGAGCCTATCACAATTAAAGAAAGTTGTGTAGATATTCAAAAACAGATCCCATCTCTACAACCACTAATTCTAAAGAAAAATAATTAAAAAGTGAGGTATATTGTTACTAACTTGATCAGCTGAAAAAGGCAGTGGTCATTCAATTGAAACGGATGATGTTGTAGGTGGGACATGTGATTGCTGAGAAATGAAGAATTCTTTCATATTCATTATCTCTTTCATCTTATCTTCTATGGTAGACAATCGATCATTCAAAGATTTGTTTTCCTCATTCAAGGATTTGTTTTCTTCATTCAAGGATTTGATATCCTCTCGAGTTGAACGTAGCGCGGACAATAATTCAGCCTTTGAAGAAGTTCCACCTTTCAAGTCTTTTGCCATTACTCCACCCCCTAATCCAAATACATGGGTTCGAGTTTGAGGTCCACACCATTTTTCAACAATCTCTATAATAGGTAGAGATGGATCTGCTTGAACCATTTCTTCGAGTTGAGCCTAAAAAATATATCAAAGAATATTTTCTATCATAACACATTAATTTCAAGTAATTAATATATTAAATTTACCAAACGCACATGTTTATCAATTGCTTCAGGTTCAACAAGCTTGTTATCTTTCTTACGCGTCTCAAAGAAAATAGTTGCCAAATCTGGTGGATAGCCATCTTTCCCTCCCTTTACATCAAAGTCAAACATGTCAAATAGCACACACCTTGTAAAAAGTCTATTTCGAAAAAAGTAATTTTATGATATTACCTTTTGATAGATAATCTCTCTAATAGGCTTGCTACCAATATGATGAAGCATCTTCAATTTAGCTCGGTTTGTTGCATTCCTTCTACTTCTTGCCTGTATTTATTTAACAATGAGTTGCATTCTAGGAGGATAAATGAAAATAATAGACCATAGAAAAGCTAATACAATTGCGGATCGGATATACTCTCCAAATAGGGCTCCGCTCTTGACAAAACGGGTATGTACCAAGAGGGAAAGCAAACTGCAGAAAAGAGAAGCTAGCAAAGTAGACTATTAATTCAATAGGCATACCTGAAAACTTTCAGAAGCAAAATGCTCCTTTACTAACCATTCCTATTCTTTTTTGTCTACTCCCCTTGGGACATTCTTAAGAGACTGTTGGATTGGCTTGTCCATCACATATTTTGCATGCAAGTGTCCTCTCCATTTATTCCATAACTCATTCATCCATCCCAAGATATGATCACGATGATCATTCATATCAACACTCTCAAATTTATGCTACAACAATCAAAACATGAGTTGATTTATCATCTACAAGCTTTATCTGTGTTTCTGAACAATTTGCTCCCAAATTATAAAAACACTCTAAGGTACTTGATTATAGATTCTTTATCTATTACAATTGATTATCGATACTAGCTACTGTAGATAGACTTCTAAAATAAGAAACATTAGATATATGGACAAGAACACACGACATATCAGGTAGCAGTAAATAATATGAATCATGTGTATATTTATTACCTCAACGGCTACCCACATATGATTCAACTTTTCTTGCTTAATATCATGCCACGATGATACTCCCAAGGGACAAATATTACGATCACGAATAATTTTACCCAAATGCCTCGAAAAGAGATTGCTATTTGTAAAAGGTTACTTTCAGCTTTTGTCCAATTTCAAGTGAAGCAACTTCTTTGCACATGTTGCTTCCTCGAAATTTTTTTACCTTTGTAGGATTAGATGAACCTACAGGTGCATCATTTGATAATAACTATAGAAATCAAACTCAATTCAAAAACTTAATAATAAATGAATTTAAGATATCATACCTTTTTATGTTGTTTGAGAGTGTTTCATAACTTGATTAATAGATGGAGAAAACGAAACATTGGTTTGCATATCCTCTTTCTCAAGAATAATATTTTTCATTTTTCTTATTTCTTGACTAGAGGAGGAGGTAGAACTTGGTTTTGTGCTTTTAGAAGGAGTTTGCATATGTTGATTAGCACAAACAACACTCTTGTTAAAAGATCCCACCTCAGATTCAGAAATTCCTAAAGGTGAGCTCAAAGATCCAGATCTTTTCTCTAGTCCCTTTCTTATAGCAGCTGGACGCACTAAACGTAATATAAGAGTTCATCAAAAAAATTGAAAACATAACAGATTTATAAAAAATACATGTTTAAAAATATCTTACTTGTTTCAACTTCTTGGGTGCATTTCTCAACCGTGGAGTTCTTATAAATCGTTTGCATTCCTTGATTAGTGAAGATGGTAGACCTTTTAAGTCCTTGTCCTCTGTCCTTCTCCATAGAACCTGAAAAAAAAGTCATTTGTTTGAGATTAAAAAGTTTGTAGCTGAAGTGAAAGATCATGTGAAATATGAACTACTATTAAGGACTGGGTTTACACTCGTAGAATTCCCTATCAGATACTAATTGGGACTGCCTCTATTATCTAAGGGAGGTGAATACTCAATCACAAGGAGCTATGTTGATCTTAGAGGGCACTACAATAGACACCTATTAGGGGCTGATAGTGACAATTATTCATGTATATATAGGGCTGATAGGTTTAGACACCAAGTAGGATTGTATATACCTATTACTATTCTTAACTTTTGTCAGTAGTGGAAGTGACAATTATTCATGTCTTCGTGCCGTGAAGTATATTCTGCAATCTATGGGGCTGGTAGGTTTAGAATGTTTGACAGCATGCAGTAGTATGGATCAACAGTGGAGAAATCCAAACTGGTTAAAGGCATGATTGCGCACAATGTGAATCAGAAACTGAGAAGATTAGTTTCTGCAGTAAATTTAGACTTCAGAAAGCTAGATAGTCGAGAGTTTATCAAAAAAAATTAGACCACAACAAATTTGCAAAAAATACATGTTTGAAATATCTTTCTTGTTTCAACTTCTTGGGTGCATTTCTCAACTTTAATAGCAGATGTAGGAAATGAAAGATTAATTTGCTTGTTCTCTTTCTCAGGAACCATGGAGTTCTTATAAATCGTTTGCATTCCTTGACTAGTGAAGATCGTAGACTTTTTAAGTCCTTGACCTCTGTCCTTCTCTGTAGAACCTGGAAAAAAAAATCATTTGTTTGAGATTAAAATATTTTCAAGGGTGGGGGAAACCAATATACATGGAGTGATAAGCAAGAAAGCAATAGAGTTTATTCGAAGACAGATTGGGTATTTGTAAATGGAGATGGTGGGACTACTTTCTTGGACGAGGGGGTGAGTGATCATATTCCAGCAATGTTGTCCTTAGTACATATCCAGGTGGGGAGGATGAGATCTATCAAATAGGTGCAGCAGGGGGGATTATTTATGAGACTGAGGCTGCTAGAGATGAAAGGTAAATTACATCAAAATCCTTTAGATATCCAAGTCAAGGTAGCAAACAGGAAAGTATTTGAGAGAGTCAATAAATTATGGCAGAATCTTACTTACTTTAAAGAAGAACGACAACATGGATTAGGCTTGGGGACGACAACACCAAGTACGATACAAGTTGTGACACAACTGACGGATGAGAATTTAAGAGTACAGACTGACCGGGACAAAGTGGATGATATATTTGTGACGTATTATCAGCAGTTATTAGGTGAAACAGGGGCGACAAGGGAGAAATAACTAGCTAAAAATCACTCACCAATTAAAAATCAATCATTTTTTATATTACAAATCAATAAGTTCTGTCATTTTCGTCGGAAATGGTTGAAATTTCACACCTCCTCCTCCAAGATAAAATACAGAATGCAGGAAAATAATTTTCTCTTCAACACAATTAAAGATTTTGCTTATGGTCTGAAGTAATAGAATACAAAATATCTTACTTGTTTCAATTTCTTTGATGTACTTCTTAACTAGATCACTTGATTGAGGCAATAAACTCTTAGATGGTGTATTCCCTTTCTCACCCAAAGATTTAAGCCCTCGTCCCCATCCCTTTCCTATAGCACCAGGCGCGATAAATGTATATCTGATAGTACTCTTCATATTAGAACCGACCTCATTATCAATTTTCAATGGTTTCATCTTGAACCTGCAAAAATAGTCAAAAGTTAAAGTTTAGACCTGAAAAATATGTAACAATATAGTGATAAAAAAACAGTACCATCATACTGTTTAACAATGAATATATTGATTCATAAATAGATACTTCACCTCATTAGTTCTTTTTCTTTTGTTTTGTGAAGGACTTCCTAACTCTACAATATCATCCTCCATTTGTTCCACAATCTCATATAAATCACGAGGTTGAGTCTTCTTCACTACTTGCCAACCTTTGTTGGAATTATCATTAGCATAAAATACTTGAGATGCTTGATCCGCTAAAACAAATCGCTCATTTATTTTCAAAAATCTGTCCGGCTTAACACTGACAAAATTATACTCATCCTTTTTAACTCCTTTTATTTCATCATACACATCAAACCAATTACATTTAAATAAAATCACTCTTCTATCCATGACAAATTGCAAATCAATTATATCTGTTAAGACTCCATAGTAATCATGGTTCTCACTATCTTCATCATTCTCACCTAATACAATAACACCACAATTTTGAGTCCTTAACTTTTTATCATACTCTTCTACATGAAATCTATATCCATTAACAATGTAAGCATTAGAACACGTCGAATATTTGGTGGGACCGCGTGAAAGTGAGAGTAGATCTTCCATGATACATCTATCATCTCCTTTATGCAATTGTGCGACCTATCAACAAGATTTCGTTGAATATTTTAGAATGAGTATTACCATATTAGAATATCAATTTTTATATTTATGTATTACTCACTCTATCTTTAAACCATTCAATAAATTGTCGACTCCATTCTGCATCAAACAAGTGTCGAGCATTCTCATGAGTTTGTGCAAACTCTCTACAAAATTGAACTGAACCATAAGTCCTCATATAAAAAAGAAATTACCCTAAAAGAAATAACAATGAGATAATATGAAAGAACTCTCCATACTTGAGATATGGTAAGACTTCATCACAATTCTTCAGTATATATATATATGTGTTTGTTCTAATTCATCCGCTTCAAGCTCACATGGATCTTTAGCTCCTAGAGTTCTTCCAAGTTGACTAAATATAGATAAACCGCCATTTAATTGTTTTAAACCACCATCATATTTTCGCTCGGGCCGATAGAATCTTGTGTCAACTTTATGCAGATACCTTGAACATAGTGTCATACATTCATGTGCAATGTATCCCGCTGCAATACAACCTTCAGGACATGCTCTATTACCAATGAGAGATTTCAAAAAAAAAATTACCATCGCTCCACAGGATACATCCACCGATAATGAATCGGTCCAGCAATCATAGCTTCAGTAGCTAAATGAACAGGTAAGTGCACCATCACATCAAAAAAATGAAGGAGGGAAGACCTTTTCTAACTTGCAAAGTGTTGTAGGTATTTGCGCTTCAATATGTTCCAAGGTATCAATTCTCAACTCCTTTGATCCAAGCACACTAAAAAATATAAATAATTTAATAAGTGGTTCACACACTTCTTTTGACAACATACCACGAAGTGCAAGAGGAAGTAGATGTTGTAAGAGAACATGACAATCATGGCTTTTCAATCCAGATATCTTGTGATCTTTCAGGTTCACACATTGAGAAATATTAGATAGAAAAACCATCAGGAACCTTTAGATTCTTTAAGAAAAGGCACAATTTGTGCTTATCTTCTGGAGACAATGTGTAGCATGCTGTTGGAACTTCACTCTTTTCCCCCTTTTGGATGGGGTGCAATTCTGGCCTAATGTTCA